ACAGTGTTAGCTATACCATCACAAGTACAACGCCAATACATTATTCCCTTATGGTAACAGTCAGTGTTGAAGCTGCCCTGTAATTCGGCACAGAACATTTCTATACTAATGTAATGTGACAATGTTATGATGTCTGCTATTTTCTATGCCATAATAGCAGTATTTGTTTCCACAAACATGCCATTACATTCACTAATATGGCTATACTTAAAGACTGCCCTAGTAAAAACAGATGTAAACTTTAGAAAGCAGATAATCTCTTATAGATTTGTTTTGTTTTGTTTTGCCAGAGTAATTTTCAACACTACTCTTATAAAAAAGCTGAATTCCCTGGGAGGATAGCTTTCACTACATAACCTGCTGTTAGAAACAGTTACGATGTTCATGATGTATTTTCTCAGAGGAGTTGCATGCATCCATCCATTTGTAAGAAAAGCCACTAACTGTCCTTTTAGTACAGTCTTCTATATAATCCCATTTTGTAAGAACAACTACTACTGGTCTGCTTTACACTTATCAGTGTAACACTTCTGTCTATCACATCTAAAGAGCACTGTTGCCCTGAATCTCCAAGTGTCATATCACATCAAAAGAGAAAATGATAATCTGTATAGCATCTTGGGGTCAAAACTTCCCCTGCCTTGTTTATCTTCCAGTAAACAGGAAACTGCAGCACACAGAATGTTCCTACCTGTGCCACCACGGAGGCTTATGGTCTACAGGCACTCCATACTCACTGTAGTGGAGTACTGAGATTTGTAACTAAGCAAAACTTTTGTGGATTAAACTGTGGGTGTTCCTGACTACAGTTGTAAAACCGTAGCCTTACCCTTGGCTGGCCCAGGTCATTTTCCATAGGAATATATTGCCTATCTTCTCCTTCTCTCTAGCTGACATGCGGAGGACACTATTGGACTGGGAAAGAAACAACCTGCCTCACATGGTGCTTATTTTGAGAGAACTTTTAAAAAAATCTTCATTTTAAGCTGTGCACATTTTCACCTGGAATAATACACTGAACAGCACAGGAGTAATAATTTGCTATTTTAGGAAAGATTAAAGAAACTTCTTGCACACTGTATTAGTAGAATGTACTATAACAATTTTCAAGAAACTATTTCTTTCATTATTTCCTCCAAACTCTGTTTTGGAAATTAAAGACAAGAATGATACATGTGAAACGTTTACATAGTAAAGCCTAGGAATGACGCATGTCAAATCTTCGTGCACTGAGGTTACTATGGGAAACATGCTGAAAGTATCAACTGAAATGCAGCTAGGTAATTTGTGCACATTTATGCAAATTGCAGATGATACAAAACTGGGAGGAGTGGCTGATAGACCAGATGCGTGTGCTGCCATTCAGAAGGATGCTGACAAGCTGGAGAAGTGGGCTGACAAGAACCTTGTAAAACAAAGGAAAATGCCAAATCCTGCACCTGGGGAGGAATAACCCCATGCACCAGGACAGGCTGGGGCCTGACCAGCTGGAAAGCAGCTTTGCAGAAAAGGATCTGGGTGTCCTGGTAGACACCAAGTTGAACATGAGTCAGCAATGTGCTCTTGTGGCAAAGGCCAACAGCCTCATTGGCTGCATCAGGAAAAACATCGCAGAGAGGTTGAGAGTTGTGATCCTTCCCCTCTACTCAGCACTGTTGAGATGCATCTGGAGCCCTGTCTCCTAGTGCTGGGCTCCCCAGTGCAACATAAGCATAAGTCCAGCAAAGAGCCACAAAAGCGATTAAGGGCTTGAAGCATCTCTCATATGAAGAGAGGCTGAGAGAGCAGGGACTGTTCAGCCTGGAGAAGGCTCAGTGAGGATCCTATCAATGTTTTAAAATACCTGACGGGTGGGAGTAAAGATGACAGAGACAGATTCTTCTCAGTGGTGCCCAGTGACAGGACAGGAGGCAATAGGCACAAACTGAAATTCACGAAATCTCATTTAAATATAAGGAAAATGTTTGTACTGTGAGGGTGACTGAGCACTGGCACAGGTTGCCCAGAGAGGCTGTGGAGTCTCCATCCTTGGAGATATTCAAAACCCAACTGGACACAGCCCTGGACAACCTGTATTAGTTGACTCTGCTCTGAGCAGAGGGGTTGGACTAGACAATCTCCACAGGTCCCCTCTCACCTCAGCCATTTTGTCAGTATGAAATTTCTACCCAAATATATTCCCTAAGAACTGGTGGACAAAATAACAGGGAGGTGTGGTGGATTAATCCTGGCTGAGGGCCAAACTCCCACCCAGCTGCTCGCCCATTCCCCCTGCTCTGACTTTGGTGTTCCCTCTGCTGTTTCTCACTCTTTTTGTTCCCTCCTCCTTCATCTGTCCAGCATTTTGGTAAGAATGGCATACTTTCTAAGCATGTTTTCACAGAGGTGCCACCAGCGTGGCTGAAGGACTCAGCTGTGCCCTGTGGGGGGTCTGTTGGAGCTGGCTGTGCCCAGCATGGGGCAGTCCTGGCCTCTCCTCACCGAGGCCACACTGCAGCCCCCCGCTACCAACACCTGGACATGGACATCCAATACAGGAGGGATGCAAGTCTCCATAAACGAGGTACTTTTAACTGTTTCTCTTATGACCACTGACACTTACTTTTAAGTGGTCAATTTTTGGGTCTGATAACAAAAAATCTCTACCTATGAAATTTTGATGTCCTGAATACTCCATTTTACATAAACCAGTACATTAAAACATAAACTAAGCCAAGAGCCTGTCTGTGTAGCGATGCTGGGTTAGATTTCAGCTTCTGTCAACCAGCATCGCTCCATGCGCAATCTGCAATGGAAACACTCTCACACACACCGCTCAGGACCATGCCTATGTCCTTCTGAAGGCGATGCATTTTTCAGCATCAAGCAGGTGCTATTCCAGACCTGTCGCTGAGATAATCTTTCTTCACATGAAGGGAATTTGTCTTACTTCAGTGCTGCAGAAGTTTAGCCTGTGGTGTGCAGCCTATGCAAGTTACTAAAAACTGTAGTAACATTTCATCACTCCTCTTTCCATTATGTTCTTCCCAAACACAGCAGAGAGAAGACTAGGAGCATCTAGATGACACTGAGATTACAACATCATTTCTCCTGCTTTCCCTTACATACACCATTATGAAAAATCTCTCTCGTTAGATTTGCTTTGCAGGTTTTTGGTATCTGAACTAATGTGAGGAGCCAAGATAAAGCAGAAACCAACTGTATTATATTTACCAGACACTGCATTCTATTACAAAACATCCGTATCTAAGATAAATTTATATTTCATGTTTCTGATAGAAGAACATTAAAAAAAAAAAGATTTATCTGGGAAAAAAGTAAGTATCTTTGGCAGCCATGTACTAAAGGTATTCTTTTACCATCGTTGGAAATAGTATATTGAGAATTATGAGATTGTGTGCAATGTGGTCCATAATGTTACCATACAAATGAGCCTTCACAGATTGGTAAATATCTTTCTTACGTAAATTCATCAGCTTGCCAAATTTATGCAATAGCTCTCACTTGAAGAAATAATTCACAGAATATTCCAGGTCCAGACATCAGTTACTGCTAAGACAAATTTATAAACAGAGTTTTTCCTTTGCTAGATGTGGAACATATAACTTCTTATTCACAGTTTTTAGTTACTTTTGGAAGAACTCAAAGATCACAGAAGAACAGAAATAACAACTTAAAAGTAAAATAGAAACAAATCATTTTCTCCTGTAGCAGATAGGGGATTGAAATCTTTAAAAATATATGTTTAGCAGTATGACTAATCACTCATATTGCTGGGAAGGGCAAACTCATATACATAAAATGAACCCAAACCTTTGCTCAAATTATCTAAAGTTTTTTGATTCCACATTTCATTTCTACCATGACAACAATTGCAGAGAAACAGACTGAGGGTGAGTCCTTTCTATAGTTTTCAAGCATGGTCAAGAGTAGAAAAGTGGAACTTTCGTGAGAATAATTAATGTAGCTTTTACATATAATTCATTTTCTAGCCTTGTGCTAGATACAATTTGAGCCAAAAGCTCTTCAGATTATAATTATTCTGTTATTTTAGGGTTTGTCCAAGAAGTTACACCTTGCTGTAGAGTGGAGAACCAGAACAAGACATAAAAATCCAAAATGCTTGACTAGGTAGTTATACCATCACTTTCTATCATCAGTCATTCATTCAGATAAATGTATACAAATAGAAATAAAAATGCTTAGCCTTAAAGCAATTCCCTCTTCATATGTACATGAAAATGTGCAACATTTGGGTATTTCAAATATGATGAGTTAAAAAGAAAACTCAGTAGCTCACTTTAATCAGTTTCCGTGGATTATTATGGCTCTTGCATTACTATTCCACATTCACTTCTGCATAATTCTATTTAGATCAATAAGGCTAGATTGCAATAAAACTAGATTATGACATTGGTGAATCAGGCCCCTTATTTTCGACACATTTAAGCTTTTCCTGAAAGACCAGATGGTTGGTGTATGTTATGTAGTTTTTTTCAGATGAAATTTAAAAGAACTAAAACACTCGCCATGCTTTTATTATTGGCATGCTTAGTGTGTCACCTAAAGAAATCGACAAAGGGAGATAATGAGCCTTGTCAACTGTTTCACAGTAATTATAGCCCTCATGATATAATGCTACAAAATTACAATATAGCTTAAGATAATAAAATGCAAAAGGTTTTTTCAATCAGGAAAAAAACTCTATTCGTAACATTTATGCAGGAAAGGGATTATTTCAAACAGGTAACCATCAATATATTAGACATGCAATCAAGTGTAATAAAACCAATTTCTGTCAGTGTTTGATACTGCACATTGTCCAAAATTTAGACTCTATATTTTAGCTATGTTCTTCCCACAAGCCTTACAGATTTTCACAGGGTTTGCCAGTTCATTTAAATATCTAATATTAAAATAATATAAAGCTTCAGTCACTTGCTTCAAATATTGCCTTAAAACTCTCGAGAGCTCAGATCAGCATTTTTTAGTGTACTTACGGTCATTGCATAATGGTCCACTAAAGGAGGTCATACTACAGTCACAACTGAATCCATCCCACTGCTGTAAGCACACTCCCTGGTTCGCGCATGAATCCTCTTGGCACGTTGTGCTGGGGCCTGATGAGAACACACAAAAAAGAACTTGCACTTTGTCTTCCAAAGAAAGGTATTTCTCACTGGATCACATTAACTAGTTGCCAACATCTCAAATCAAATGAGTAAAGAGTTACCAAGTAAAACACACAAACTTGTTGATTTTGTAGCAGCATATAATATCAAAAGGGTGTTTTTCTTTAGTTTTAAGATTGATATGTCAAACACATAAGAATGCGCAAGCTGAAGCAGAGTTATTCCAGGTACAGTGGGAATGTTAATTTTGTTGCAAGTTATTTGTTAATCTCGTGTCAGACCATTAACTGGCTAAATGTTTTCTAAAAACTTCAGTACTATTTTTTCCTATAAATACATTTCAAAGCCAGATGCCACAGAAAGCAAAGCTCTGGGAGATGAAAGTAAAGATTAGAAAATAAAATTAAAACCAAAACAAAATAAAAAAAAAATAAAATGAAGCTACACTATACAATGCTTTTAATCCCACAAATTATTTTAAACGATTTAGGTCTGAAATTAAGAAGAGCTTGGGATTCTTTGGCAGGAATGTTGGCAAGTACTGATTCACATGCTTCAGGGATCCCATGCAGTTTCCTTTTTTTAAGGGAGAATGCAGAAAATCAGACTACTAATGAACTGGCATGCCAAAATGTGACATACGCATGAAAAACAAAGCTACTCTATTTCTAGAGAATCATAACTAGACTACTGAAATATAAAGAAATTTGAAAAGGAATGATCAAAGCACTAAAGCAATCACTATACAAACATATTCAAGACTGAAAGCCTTTATGCAAGCTATGCTGGAAAATGAAGGTTCATGTAGCCCATTGTTTTAGAGGTGTGAAAGACAAAATCTGAAATAAAATAACACATTTTAGTTCTGAAATATACAGAGCATTCACTGCAGAAATCCAACTGTGCATTGGGGGTTTCAGTCTTGTTTAATACACACAGGGCTATCTACCTTGCAAATCAGCTTTCATCAATGCAACTTTGTCAGCAAAATAAAAAAGCAAAATATATTAAATGTTAGTAAGCAATATTGAAATGGCAGCAAACACAGAAAAAAAACATTCAGAGTAAAGTGCATGCTGCTGTTAAAGAGAGAAAGAAATGCCATATAATGCAAAGAAATTAATGCTAATAGCCATAAATCTTCAGGCAAGCCAAAATAAGAAAGCAGTAATTTGCCAGTATTTTACTACAAATATAATGGTTAATTGAGCTGATGACATATAATGAAGGAAAATTAAAAGTTTTGTTGTTTTTTTTCTTCCTTGGATAGATATGAATGCATTAGCAGAGTAAATGCATGGCTGAATCCTGACTAGCCATTTGTCATGTTCAGATACACTGAATTCAAGAATAATTAGCACCATCATCCTCTCTGGTCTTTCTTTTTTCTAGCCCTTTCTTCGTGACTGGTGAATGAAGACTGAAATACAGACTGTGAACTACAGATTACTATGAGCTCACATACGCATTTCACACTGACTTTTGACACTACAAGGAAAAACTTGGTTCTGGGATTACAAAATTCTCCTAAATTGTTTTGGAGAAGACACATCAATATCCATTTGAAACTCCCATTGCAAGTCATTGATGACAAGGCAAAACTGGTCCAAAGATTATATAAATATCCTAAATCATCCTGTAGAGAGAAATCCACTTAACCCTTCTTTGACATTACAGCTCCTTCAAAGAACTCAGTGTGGGATTTTCTTTTGATTTGCCAGTATTTTAGAAAAATCGATATCAATATGATTTAAGTCAGTTCAATGGCCACTTGCTTTAAATGAGGCACTGCTCGAGCACACCTCTGAACCAGGGCCTGAACAGTCACCAGTGTGATTAAGAACGAGGGCAGTGTACGCTGCATCCCTGTTTCGGCAAAATTATTATCTGTTCTGTTTTCTCCTGTTCAAATAATATAATAATAATAACAACAATAATAATAACCATAACTGATTGACTGCAGTAGGCAGACATAGGATAGTGATCTCCTTTTCTTTGGAGTTTTGAGCCCAGAAGTTTAAACATTTGGGCATTACATCACCCTTTCTTGAGCTGGGGATTATAATGACAGAATCCCGTAGCTGACAAGACAAGACACATTTTTTTCTCACCAGATTCTGCTACTCGGAAACTTTACAAAGATGAAGTGAAAATATCTGTAGGTGTTTAAATGTTATATATTCATGCATTTATTTACACTTTAGTTATGCAATGTTAAATTTCCTCATCTTTGCAAAAGTAGAGCAAAAGTCACAAGGACTTAAAAGTACGTAAACTGCAGGACCCTGTAGGCACATTAAAAAGTGCATGTTAAAACACACATATTTGGAAAAAATACAGTTAGGATCTTGTTAAAAAGCAGGGTATTTTGCTTTTTATGAAATTGATTCTTAGCACTTTTTCCTTATCTATAGTAGTCATTATTAAAAAATTGACATCAAGACTACCTTACATGTAAGAATTCCTTTTAATAGAAGTAGGCTTTTTTTTTTTTTAAAGAACAGAGGAGGACTGTTTAATGTCAGTAAATACTATAATATTTACCATAACAGGTTCATATCTTCCTATATATATTACAGAACTAAGCTATTTAGTAAAAAAATTGTAATACGCTTCTCAAGCACTCACCTTTTGATTCACATTCTATTTAAATATTCTAATTTATTCAGTCTTCACTGTAGACTTTTTAACTGACTGGATTTGATCTCTCATTTACATTTGTCTTATGTGAGGGCTTACATGCTATATATTACACAAAATGCATTATTAAGTAGCATGTACAATGTTTTACTATATATTTTAAAAATAAATTCCATGTCTCACCACCAAGAATCTTCACATATATTAATACCTTGAAACTTTTCATATAGTTCATTTAATAAACAAATTATATTATATATGCACACGCATGTACACAGTGCATTTTCCTCTTAAATATATTAAAAGTATTTTTTTATCATTCTGTAATTTCTACAATTCTGCTTTATTTAAAGTGTGTAAAGAAAGTACAATGGATTTGACTAGAGAAAAACACTTACAACCTGGCTCTGGGGTTTGCTGTTCACAATCCGAAGAGCTAGTTAGCATATTTATGTTTCTTAGCTGTTGTTTCTATCTGTTCTAGCCATTGAAAATTTGTCAACAAGGTGGATTCAGCCAAGTGTAAATTACATTCAATGCTCAATGATAGAGAACAGAGATATCTATCTGCCTGTGGCTGAAATTTCAAAATGCAAGCCTTACAACTTGCCACACCAATCCCACGTGTGGGTTTGCAAAAAAACATTCCAAAGAAAGAATTTTTAACATGCACTTATGACAGTAAAGTTATTGAGAAATGTCAACCTTCTAAGAACAAAATCCTAACACATAAAATTAATTAGTGGTACATCATGGCTTCACAGTTTGACAGAAGAGAGAAAAAGAGCTTTCACCACAGGTTTTTTTTTTTTTTATACCAGAAAGGTGGGGAATTCAATCCCATAAGAGTCTGAAGAACATCAAATCCAAGTGCCTCACTTCTCAGGAAAGATTTTGCAGCAGGCTGATGTCTTAACAAAGGACATATACCCACCAGTACAGCCAGCCATCTTTTGGATTGAGAGTGGCGGTGACTAATACTTATTGTTTAGAAATTACTTCTGCTGCTATGTCCTGAGCTCTTTGGACTTGACATCTCAGGGGGCTTACAGAGCTTACGCATCCCATTGCAGCATGTGATAGATGCAAAACTGCTCAGCTTTGTAAGGATGGAGACAGTCCTATCTGTACACAGCAGCAGAGCTATGGGCAGCTTGAGGCATACAAGAGACTTTTAAGAGGCAGCTAAATTTGCAAGTGACTTAAATCATATTTTAGGTGTCAGAACATTTTTTTGTACATCTGATCCATAGTCTGCAGACAAGAGACTGACAGACGGGTCAGACAGGAAGACTTGAAGTAAACAAGTGAGATGGAAGAGTTAACTTGCAAGAGTTAAGCAGAAAGGTTGGAAGGGAATATTTCATTCCATGCTGTTAAAGATTTCCTTCTGCGGGCAAAAGACTTTTGATGAGACAGGTCCCTGGGAGCCAGGCAGCACATCTGGTTTGACCATTTTGCTTGTGTCAGATAATGTTGGTGTCGGAAAAAGCTGACTCTCCACCAAAAAGGACAATATTTGTATGGCCTTTATTAAATTGTTGGTAGCTTTATTAAATTCACCAATAGCTGAGTTGTGCCACTGGTTTAAAAGGTGAACTCACACTCTAGGCCTGTGGCAATATTTCTTTGAAGTACATAAAATTCATTTAGATAATTACATAATTTCAAAAGAAGCTATGAAATGCATAATGGAATTAAGGCATACTTTGAGACTCTGAAGGGATGGTGCAGGCATGGAACTTGCTAACGTTATTCAGAAAGCAGAATCTAATTTTCTAAACTCAGTGACAAACTAATTTAGTCATATTTTTCCATTCCTGATAGAAATAAATAGACACTAAAGCTATAGAAAAATAAGTTGTGAATTTTACATATTTCTAGGTACTATCAATAGAATTTATACTGTTAACTAAAGGTAGGAGGTAAAGAACAAAAAAGTTCCACCTGTACAAATGTACTGTAGGCACAACGAAAGAGGAGACAGAATTTATCCACCAGAAAGCTTTATCTTGTGAAGCTTGAAGAAACCCCCCAGCTCTGCTTGGATTTTTTACCATGTCTATTTGCAAACTTAACAAACTTGATATCAAAATCATCAAGATTCCAACTTGAAATTCTACAGTGTCATTTACACATTTTTCTGTCCAGAGACGAATGGTACTTGAGAGGGGGGATAACACATAAAATTGAACATAGCCACAAAATTCAGAATTACGTGAAATCATAGTAAAAATAACGTGGGATTAAATGACAGCTAGAAAAATAGCTAGAGATTGACATCCCTGAATTATAAATACACCTCTTCTAATTCTGTCCTCACTTAAATTCCATGATATTCCAGATGAGTCAATAAAGACATAAAAAATGTGAGATAAAACATATTTGGCTGTTAGTGATTTCAGATAGGAAGGCTCATGACAATGCAAAACTCAGGGGTGAGCAAAAATAGAGAAGATGGAAGATTGATCTTAAACAGTTTCATAAATTAGCCTTGAATTAATCAGCTCAGAATATCTGCTTTAAAAATGGAATTAATTAGCTAATGTCTCAGCATTAGCAAATGCCTAAGTGTTATGAAGATACAAAGGACTTCATTGAAGCTAATTGTTATTGTTTCTATCATTAATTAAATACATCAGAAGTAAACAAAATACATGCAAAGTATCTTGCCACTGGAGAAGGATGGAACCTACATTAAACATTTAAGAAGTTAACTCATGTTCTCAGATCAATCTCTGTGCTGTAGGGCAGGCACACACTTGTGTCTATAATACTAAAAAAAATGCAGTCTTTATATAAGAAAGGGTCAAATGATCAATTAGAAGCAGGTAAAATATAGTCTCTCCGTGTTTGGAGTGTACATATCAACAAAACTCTGCAGGATTCACACAATACTTTCACTATGATATAAAAAAAAAATCAACATATTTAATACCTTCACATCCTCTTTCTATTTGCCCATTACAGAAGAGAGCATCTGAGATTAGATCAGGGAGCCGTCCATTCAAGTCAACTGATGCAAGACAGCCTTGGAATCCCTCTTTTGCGTGCACCAGTTTTGGCAATGACTTATACATTTCTTTGGCCACTCCTCCAATATACAAATCACCTGTTAAGGAAAAATATATATTAGATACAGAAAAAACCCTGTAGAATCTTTGACCTGCTTGATCTTCTGGCCTTTTTGTGCTGAATGACAGGCATCTCAGAACAACATTTTTCAAAATAAATGCAGAAGAAAACACTGATAGCATATATGATGTGAAAAGATATTGCAGGACTGTATTTTTTCAAATGCATATGTAGACTTCACATTTGTATGACTAATTACTTAGAAGTATCTGGACATTTTTTTTTATGTGCCAGCTCCTATATACAGGAAACATGCATCTATTTCACAGTTGAGGATTCAGTCACAGGATCTCCATCTAGAAATGCATCTAGCACTGATGCATGCTGTTAGCATAGTCAGGGAACCTGACATATTTTTTCAAATGCGTATGTAGACTTCACATTTGTATGACTAATTACTTAGAAGTATCTGGACATTTTTTTTTATGTGCCAGCTCCTATATACAGGAAACATGCATCTATTTCACAGTTGAGGATTCAGTCACAGGATCTCCATCTAGAAATGCATCTAGCACTGATGCATGCTGTTAGCATAGTCAGGGAACCTGACCACAGATCATCACGATTATGGATCCAGCAGACTGAGAGAAAAGGCAGTAAGTGGAGCACCAAGATCCACCTAAAGTCCGTGTATCCAGAATCATCCATTTAAAAGCACACCAAGAAATAAAGGGTTTAGGGACACATCTAAGGAGAAACTTAGGGATACCACTGTTAAGCAGTGAAATGACTGATTCTTCCCACCAAAATTCATACCCTGTGTCAGTCATGTGGGAACAGGGGGAGTTAGATGCCTTTAAAATGGCAATCTGCACACTGAGCAAACAGAATTTTATTGCCAAAAATAATTCTGATGACAGACACATATTATAAACAGCTCTCTTTGATAAACCTCAGGCAACTTAGTCAGGACTGAAAGCTAGTGCTTTTCTTCCTTTGAGTAATTCATAGCTCTGAGACTTATTTTGCAAGGACATAACTATAACTTTCCTCTTAAACACCGAGGGAGGGGATGCTTTTTTGTTTTACAACAATTCAGGCTGTACCTTTCTTTCATGTGTTTGGTGTCTCTGGTGGGCAGAACAGTGATCTTTCAACCTAACGTAACTTAGCTCCCTAAAGTGTGCCTTAAGTGTCAGACTGTAGGTTTAACTAGGTGTGTTCCATACCTGTTGCTGAAGACATGCTGCAGAAACAAATCTGAGCTTTGCCTGGCCAGAGAGGGGAAGCCTGCTCAGTGTGAACACACCCCTAGCTAAAAAGCTTCAGTTCTTCTCCTGGCAGGCAAGATGTGCTTGATTCTTTCAGTCACAGACAGAAAGGAATAAAACCATGGTTTCCTACATCTTACATGAGTTTACTGTCCTGCTCTGTTATCCCCTAACTCAGAAAAAGCAGCCATCTTTGCAAGCTTGGTGGGAGTGCTCTGAGCATGCCTACAGGCAAGCCCCTTTAGGCACGCAGGAAGAGGACCATCTGAGCTTCTGAGAAGCACTGAACCTGTTTGAAGGAAGGTGCTTATGGGACCATCCGACTCTCAAGCATCACCCAGTGACAAAATTCTTACTCTACCTATGCATTAAATCCTCACTGATGCCATGTTTTATGCTAGCATAAGTTTTCAATAGACTATCTGAATATACATTCTGATCTACACTGTGCTTTCCAGTATGTCCCCCAGTTTGGATGATTTTGGAGCCTAGGCTACAGGATGTACCAAAGAATGTTTCTGCGTCGCCTCAAATGCAAAATTGTTCATTTCCTAAGTGTTTACCAAGCTTTGTAGGCTGATTTTATAGAGACAAAACTCAGAATGTACTAGCTATCATCACTACCCCATGTGGCTAATTTTAATCTCCCTCTTATCGGTATAAGCCGCAGTCACACCTTTTCCTGGTTCTCCTGGCATACTGGCTTGTTTGCAAGGGAGTGCAATTTAGTGCTGTTTGCAATCGTTTACAGTTTGCCTGCAAGGAAATGGCCTGAAACAAACAAATGTCTATCAGACTGTGAAAAATTCTTAGTCACTACATACCAGCCCTAAAACTCAACTGTATTTGAGTTAGTGAAATGGAGATAAAAAGCTTAGGAACATGCATATTATTAATCTTATAAGCCATCCAACCAAAAGTCTTAGCAACCATTATAGCATCTTGTACTAAGAAACCTCAAGCTTTCTCCATTCCACGTAGATAATTTGAAAAATAAGATAATGCTTTCCTCTAGAGCTTTGAGGTACAGTATGAATCTCAGAAGCATTATATTAGACATAACAGATTAAAATATGGTGATCCATATGTTCCCACAAATGGGATGTAATTCATTCACAGCAGAAAAGCTTCTGTATTTTTCAACCAGCTGAACTGGAAACCAAGTAAAAACTCTTGCCTCACGATAAAGGTTCTTCATCTTTTTCTCAGGTGGAACATATAGAAAGTAAAACCCTTCCAGGTTTCCTGAAGATCTGTGCTTTCAATCATCGTCAGCTCAGAATAGAGAGATAATTCATCTCAATTGATTCCAATGGATTTAAAAGAGGGAAACTCCAGAGAACAATACTAAGAACATCACACCTATGCTAAAAAGGTTAAACTTGGTCTATTGGACATGACACATGCAACCTCTTTTTAAGTCTCCCAACATATATATTGGCAAAACAACCATTTTTATTCTGTGATGATTGGTTAAATCTTTAAAACCGCAAACTTTCAAACTGATCCCCTGCTAATTCCCAAGATCTATCCCTCAAGCATATAGAGATTGCCATATACAGTCATATAGCAGTTGTCAGTTATGATGAATGGCTAGTAGAAGTCCAGCTCAGTGTGCCAGCATATGAACCTGAACTCAGAATATTTGCTCCTGAATATACACACTGGAATATTTTCAAATAGGTATCATATGCACAGAAGTACCATACATTAAGTTGAGTCTAAATAAACTGTAACTCTACTGTTTACTTACATTTCCTTATGACTATTCATAATCAGAACTGATCATTATATGCTATTGAAGATACAGTTTCCACAAAAAAAGACATGTTCTGGGTAATACTTTAACTTTGTTGATGTTCAAAATAACTTGAGTTCTGCTTTTGCACTAGCTAATACACTACACTAATACGTATCATATGTATTGAGCAGCCGTACTGACTATTAGACTTCACCTTTTATAAAGTATATACAAATATTTTTTATGACTATGGGCTAAACCTTTCCCAGATTTAATATCAAACGTGGTTTGAGTTTGCTGCTGATGGCATAAAAATACACTTTCTCTCAGAGACAAAAATTTATTAAGGGATAGGCTCTGGAATTAAACCTCAGATTTTTTTTTTTTAAAATATATTTAAATTTTTTCACTTGGTTATTTTTTCATATCTGCTATCACAAATGTTTTGCATAGCTACTTTTATTTCAGTTAATCACATGCTTCATTTTCACGTTCATCTCAATGAAGTAGTTTCCTACAAAACTCAATCCATCAGAAATTCAGACAGGACAGAACCGCAGAAAATGTTGTTAATGAAAATATTTGTATCTTGAACATGCATTAGCAGAGGTTCAGTAAAGATAAAGCTTGTCCCTGCTCCTACTAAAAGAGATCAGAGGAATCAACAAAGTATGATACAAATTCTCAGGTTTCCTCCTCTTTTTCATTTCTTATGTAAGTACAGCTTTACTACTGGAAATGTTACATGCTCTAAAATGGGATTAATTCCTTGTTGTGTATCTGCTTACTTACTCTGATGAATTACATGTAAGTTATTAAGTAAGGTATCACAGTTCAACAGATCAATAGTATGAGATCATGACACTATCTAAACTAGCTGCAGCCTAAATGCAATACTATCACAATACTGCTGCCACCGAAAATGCGTGACCATTTCAGCAGTTGTGCACAATGGCAAGTGCAATTCTTCTATTTCTTCCTTTCTTTCAACAGATGAGCATTTTTTTAAGTACATATATAGAGAGATATACCTGTATTACAGTGCTAACCATAGTTTCTGGAACTAAAGTTTAGCTATTACCTTCTGTGCATGTATTTTCTTCTGAAGTTTATTTTGATTTTTAAATGTATTCCTGAAAAAGTCTCATTTTTTTTTCATAACCATCCTTACTTTCCTTAATTTATAAAGGAAGATAACTAGTTTATATAAAATATATCAACTGGCATAAACAAAGTAGCAGGTAGTAAAGAAATGGGTGAGGGAACAGAGTGCTCCAAGATTTCCTTCTGACCTCTGGAGAAGCTTCAAATAAAGCACTTAGTTTGAGAGCAGGTACTCCTTAATCTCACAACTCTCTTCTTACTTATATTAGGATTCAGGACACAGAGTTATGCTTTTTTTTTTAGGGAGGGAGGATTGTTTCCTCTCTTCATTTTTCTGAGGCCAAAAAAATAAGTATGCTACAGTGTTTCTCACTGGCATGTTCATTGCAGGTCAGAGGAATCAACTGGAAGGCAGCACTTTCAGAGCTATACCTATAAATCATGGCAATAATAGTACTGGTCAGTTATATCATAGGCACTGACAAAGAAAAGAGTTTAGTGGGTTTAATTTATATCTTTTACAGGTAATGAAGACCTTCATTTATTCCAACAGGAGCTTTCCTATTTACACCTATATATCTCTCTTCTGACTTAGAGCTGATTTGTGCTTTGAGGAACAAGTGAATTTAACACAGAAACAAATTGCTAGCTAATAAGTGAACCCAAGTTCTCAATGTATTCATTATTGGAATCACACTTATGAAAAAACACAGAACACCACACAACAGTGAGTCACACACAACTCCTGGTGAAACAGATGCTGCAAAATTCTTCTGTAATATCTCATCTTTTTTTATCCCAAGTCTCTACATTTCTTCAAAATAAGAACTTTGCAAATGCTAAACCAAAGAAATGTAAAATAAAAATTGAAGATGCTGTTCTATTTATTTCTTTTCTGAATAAGTAGCAGAAGTATCTTAT